TAACGCTAGTTCTAAATTAAGTGGAAAAATTTATTAGTATGTCCTACCTCCTAATACTAGATTACACTCAAATCCCTTATAGTAACAAAGTTTAAAACCTCACAGGTTTATGAAGTCAGTAGAAAAATGTTTACTCCATTAAGCTCAAGCGTTAAGAGTACGTAATTTTCTTCTCACAGTAACTAAAGTTACGTTCGCTCAGCTCCCATTTTGCCTATCCTTGACTGTGCTGATATATCCTACCTTGACATTACCTAGGAGCAGCTTAATAAGTTTGAGCATTCAAAATTTATTTAGTAGATTTATATTTGAGCTGCACAAATATGATCACATCTCGGAATTTCGAAAACAGCTCAAATGGCTCCCGATCCGCCTTCGCAGGAATACTCATATTATCTCCGCATTGTATGACCATTTCCAGTATCTTTCCCTAAATCATAATCGGTTCCTTCGTGTGAAGTGACGTGTGACTTTGGCTCGCTGGCATTGCAGGCAAGCACGTGCCCACTCTCGGCAATCTTTGCGCACTCCAGGCCTTTACCTTTCGGCAATGAGTTTTGCTGTGGCACTACCGCCTGGGTGGCTTAGTGAGTGCAAGTTTTCAAAAACCAGTTGACGCAAACTCTTCGAGGCGAATAGTCTCAAGATGTTGCCATCGTCGTCACAGTGTATCTCCACGTCCGGGCCAGGTATTCGTACTTTTCGCAGTTGGAGCGAGTTTTTGGATTCCAGTAATTGTTTTATCCGTATACTTAATTTATACGTACAATACTACTATAGTTAAATATAACTATAGTAGAACAGTACATTGCAAGTTATAGTACAAATAGCAATTGATTTATTTAATTAATTAATCAGCCAGTACAAGGATTTAAAGTACTTCGGGAGAAGCCGTACTGCGTTTCGTGGAAGAACGAAGCTGATGGTGCATTGAGGATCTGATGTCTTTACATTTGCAGCGTCTGGAGTCTAATAGATCAACGAACTTCAAATCCTACGTACTCCAGGTTCCTGCAAAATACAAAGAGACATTCTTCGCTCCCGATTTCTGGCCTCTAGGGAAGTGTTTCGTCGATACAGGGACGTGCCAAAGAAGAAAGTTTCCTAACTAGTATTAAGTTAAGGTATATATTGCTATGGGCCAATGTCCCTAATTTTTAAGTCCTTTTTTAAAGTTATTGTATTGTATAGTGTAATATAATAAATTAATAATTTATATTCATGTACAAAATATAAACTTAATATGAACGAAATGTAAACAAAACAAATGAAAATAATAATAAATATGTAGTAATACTTAGTCTGGAAAAGTTACAAATCTGTATCTATTATAGATTGTGATATATTATAATACAAAATGTAGGAATTACAGTTAATAAAAATCAATCACCATGGTAAACTTAGCATATAAGATATTTTACAAGGGCTAATTTATGTAGTCCTCAAAGTCAGTTGTAAACATGCGAATATTCAGTCTATTCCTGTTTTGTCCCAAGTATTTTTAATGTTCTTATGCATATAATTGACCATGGTCAACTTACCTAAGTGCCATTTTCGTGAATTAATAATAGTATAAATTTCACGACAAAGTATCCGCCTATGGTCATTTAACTTGTGTCAGATTCGCATTATTGATATGGCACTACTTACCACGGTGAACTGACAATTCATTAATTGATAAAATCAGGTGTTACTTTGCGGAAATCCATTATGATGGGGTTGTTATAAACTAATTTGCTTATTTGTGTCCTGCCCAGTTTTAAGGGGACCTCACACCCTCCCTCAATCGCGCGCACTACACCCTTCGCCATTATTCCCAGCACTACCATCCCAAGCATCACCACACTAGGCACGACACACCACTCTCGAAAATACGACACGTGTTTCGCCTCTACACGAGGTATCCTCAGGTGAAGTAGACTTTGCGGAGGCTGGCCGCTAAGTGAGGGGCAAGCCGAAACTATTGCTATTTATACTACTTGCTAACGCAACCGCGCTCCAATTACGTAGCGAGCGATTACGTCATGCGATCAATCACCGCCTGATGTACGCCGATATTTGCTGTGAAATTAACAACAAACTACTGCGAAACGTCCACCTACCCTACAACCACGCAACCAAACGCTGACCACCGCACCGTGAGGGTGACAAACGACCATGTTGCGAGGCTATATATCATCAAAGAGCTGGCTTAAACATGTTTAAGAGAGGCGAGTTGGAAACATTTGTTTGTTCATTCAGCAGTGCAACATTACCGTTATTATTTTTTTATATCTCTAAATGTTCAAGCACACACAGTCGTAGCCCTTTATTACAAGTATGTAAGACTTTAAAGGAGTGGTCATTGCCTAGGCTGTGTCCAGTGTCTAAGAGATGTTTAGCAAAATGTGATTTAGCAGGTTTACAATTCCTGTATGCGGCTAAATGCTCTTTATAACGTGTATCGAAGCCGTGACCAGTGTGACCCATTATTAGTTGCCTAATAATAGTATCACTATTATTAGTAACAGATAGAATAAAAGAAAAAAAGTGAAAAAAAAGAAGAGAAAATGTGATGTGAAAAGTCTTATAAATAAAAGTTTCATGTCTTGAAAAGCGATTTGTTTTAAAAATGTGAAACCTATTTGGAATTATTATGTAGCAATGAACAAACTAACGCTCAAGGGTTTCTTCAAAAGCGTCTTATGCGGAGGGATGTTGCTTATCTGCGTAGAGATTTTAACAAACATGCTGCAAAAAGTGACGCTAATATTTTGGCATTTAATTTTGAAATATAAGCCGATACACATTACAGACACAGAATCCAAAAGGAACCGCAGGTCCATGATTTTATGTACTTAAACTGGCAGTACATACAATATAATATTGTATAACTTAGGAAAACAAAATGTCAATTGCTATACTTTAGATGAGACGGAAGACAAGCAAGGAAGCGTTGAAATCGCAACGTCTGTTAATATTATTAATCAATCAGATATATGCGTGAGAATGATGATGAACTTTATTTGTATGCTTATTTTTCTTGTTGTGAACCACCCTAAAATAAATATTATTGCCCACGTGGTTTTTTAATCAGGATATAGCCATATGGAATGTGGTTCTATTCTTTCTAAAATATAATATGTCGGAGCGTCTATAAAATACCCGGTTGGGTCGAGGTAGAATGGAGGGTATATCGAGAAACCCCCCTTGTGTATGTAGTATAAAGTTCACTGTAGGTGCCGTGCGCCGGAGATTCCGCTTAAGTCACTCAACGAGTGTGGTCATTCGACTAGTGCTAAGATAGTGTCGTGGTTCTGTTCGTTGTTGTAATTCTTCTAGTGCAGGCGAGGAGAATCGGTGTTGCTGAGAGGCTGCCCTGTGTTACATTGAGATAAGTAGTGTTGCTGTCGGTTGACATATTTTGGTGTTATCATGTAATTACGTACCTCACGTTACACTGGTGTGTGATTGTGGCAGAGACGTGTTACGGTGTGGTCGAACTGTAATTTCACTATACTGAATGTATAGTGCGTTACGTTGTCTTATTACTGATAATGATTAAACTGCGTAAGCAAGAGAGCAAGTTGAACATCCGCTCTCACACTTTTATTATTTTTAACAGTTAACGCTATCCTGATGTATTTCCAAGATCACGAGTGGAATACTTTGTTGAATAATCTCCGACATCAGAAGTGGGATCTCCTGTTGTCATTTCCGATAAATAAATATCGAAAAACACCCCTGTTTATACACTGGATGGATGGGTTCCAATCATAAGGATGGCCAGAACTAACCGCCGCTCTTCGGCTTACAGCAGAAACAAAGAAAACAAAAAAGTCAGAAAATCCTTCCTTAATTCGAAAGGTTCAAGACCGACATAAAAACCTAAAATATTTTTTTATAAAACTGATTACAATAGTGAAGGAATAACTGAAAGCAAAGAAAGGGAAAGTAACTGTATAATATCAAAATTTGCTTACAGTGGCCGATTGCCTATTTCAAAGGCGAAAAGACAGATTTAGTAAAATTTTGCCAGGATCTCTTAAAACAAAGGAGCTATCAACAATATTATGAGAACCTGCCAGTATCTGAAACAGTGTCGGAATGTTTACAATGAAGCTAACAATGAAGTAGACGATTTAATAAAATAAAAATTAAATGTATATTGTAAGCTAGATGTTATTATTTTTAAAAGTGACTGGTTATTTTGAGACTAAGTTAATAATTATTGACAGATCAAAGTGTATTTTAAGGATAATTAAAAGCCAAAAAAGAGCATATAAACAACTTAACAAAAACAAAACTTGGATACCTATTTTAAAATCACAAATAACGTCACAAACCGCTGGAACACGAACAGATATAGTTAGTTGCCACAGAATTTTTTAGAGACCTCTACAGTTATGAAAATAACATGCCTATGTGTATTTAGTTTTTTGTTATTGGAAAGTTTAGGTATTTTAGGTCTATTTTCTATAAGTATATTTTTATATTTCAAAAGAGAACATTCAATAGTCCTTCTCATATATTCGCTATCATGGGAAGTCACATCAATATCTTAATCGAAATACGCTCTAATTTTTCGATGTTTGAGTTAGTTATATTTACATTATATTACTGCTACTAATATTTAAGTCATCATTCTCACCTGGAAGTGTAATTACTGCAAATTTTTTCGAGTAAGTTACCAAATACAACACCTGTTTCCCCCAAATTCCTGTCAGACGATTCTAAATCCAACCTAATTTTTTTTGGTTAGACTGTAGCTGTTGGAATTGATACAGCATTTTTGCCCGATAAGATGTAAGATTAGTTTGGTAGCCTTATACTACTCGCACATTACACTTATATTTAATTTCGTCAATCAATTCACGGATATTTCCTTGCTTTAAGTTCCTCTCAAAAATGAGAGCAGGCCTGTGTCCAGCAGTGATAAGTATGAAGACTATAAATTTAACTATTAATTTTAATAACTGGCTACCGTAATACGTAACAAGTTGAAAATAATGAGGAATTACCAAAAACATTCTTCAATTGCGACGGTGAAGCATTGCAGCGCAGCTTGCCAGCGTGTAAGCCAATAATGCGGTCACCCAAGATATCAGCCTCCTCTAAGAGTTGTGTTGTCATGATCACGGTTCGTTTACCACGGAGCGTCTTGGAAACAAAAATAATTGAGCGTTAGTATAATACACAAATATTGATAAGGTAAAGTTACGTTTTTTTTTTTTTTTTTTTTTATAGGAGAGGGGGCAAACGAGCATGCGGCTCACCTGATGGTAAGTGACTACCGCCGCCCATGAACAACCGCAACACCAGGGGAATTTCAGATGCGTTGCCGGCCTTTTAAAAAGGAGTAGGCTCTTTTCTTGAAGGTCCCTAAGTCGTATCGGTCCGGAAAAATCGCTGATGGTAATCGATTCCACAAGGAAGTCGTGCGAGGAAGAAAACATCTTCTAAATCGCACAGTGGTGGACCGCCAATCATCCAGATGGTGTGGATGGTATCGGGAGTTCTGCCGCGATGTGCGTTCATGAAATTTGGCGGCTGGGATTAATCCGAACAATTCCTCAGAGCACTCCCCATGGTAGATGCGAAAGAAAATGCAAAGAGATGCAACATCTCTTCGCAGTGCCAATGAATCGAGCCGATCGGAAAGGGCTCGGTCGTCGACGATTCGAGCCGCTCTGCGCTGGATGCGGTCAAGTGGAAGGAGCTGGCACTGGGGAGCCCCTGCCCAGAGATGGGAACAGTATTCCATGTGAGGCCGAACCTGCGCCTTGTAAAGTTGCAGGCGGTGTGCCGGCATGAAATACTGTCCCGCTCTGCTGAGCACGCCAAGCTTTTTAGAGGCCAATTTGGCCTTCTCTTCCAAGTGACCACGAAACGCACGTCACTCGATATGTCGACTCCGAGGATACCGATACTGGCTGAGGCAAGAAGGGGAGTGCCTTGAAACTGAGGAGATACGACAAAGGGGTTCTTTTTAGCGGTAAACGCGCAAACTTGTGTCTTCTGAGGATTAAACTGGACTAGATTTAGTCGCCCCCAATCCGAGACTTTGTCCAGCAAAGACTCGACTTCAGACACAAGTTTGTTCCGGTACTCGGCGACGTTTTCCCGAGAAATATTGGCCCGGCCGGTGTATAGAGCATCACCAGTGCTGTCATCCGCATAGCAATGAATGTTACCAGTTAGCAACATATCATTGATATGCAGAAGAAACAGCGTTGGTGATAGCACACAGCCTTGTGGAACACCAGCGTTAATAGGCTTGTAGTCAGAACATGCACCGTCTACAACGACCTTGATGCTCCGATCTGCAAGGAAGCTGGTGATCCAATTGCACAATTTCTCGGGAAGCCCATAGGAAGGGAGCTTCGAAAGAAGCGCTTTGTGCCAAACCCGATCGAAGGCCTTCGCAATGTCCAGACTAACAGCCAACGCCTCCCCCTTGGACTCTACTGCCTCCGCCCATCTATGGGTCAGGTAGACTAGAAGATCACCAGCTGATCGACCCCGACGAAAACCGTATTGGCGGTCACTGATCAGCTGGTGATCCTCAAGGTACCGGATGAGCTGGCAGTTAATAATGGATTCCATTATTTTGGAGAACAAGGAGGTGATCGCGATAGGCCTATAGTTGGACGGGTCTGAGCGGTCGCCTTTTTTAGGGATCGGGTGGACAAAAGCTGTCTTCCATGAGTTCGGGACTACGCCTTGGGAGTAGGAGTACCGGAAAAGACGCGTTAGAACCGGTGCCAACTCCGGAGCACACGTCCTCAGCACAATTGGGGGGATTCCGTCAGGCCCACTCGACTTGTGGATGTCAAGGGAGAGGAGTGCTCTGCGAACCGAGCGCTGTGAGAATAGCACATCCGGCATAGAACACTCACACCGCGGGATGGTCGGCGGTGTGTTCCCCCCGTCATCAACAGTCGAGTTGGACGCAAAAAGGGAGCCTAAAAGGTCGGCCTTCTCTTTTGCGTCGTGGGCCAGTGAGTCGTCCTCCCTGTGCAGAGATGGTAGTGATGGCTTACAGAAATTCCCTTGGACAGCCTTGGCGAGAGACCAGAATGCACGGGTTCCCGAAGGAAGGCGAACTAGTTTCTCGCCAATTCTGGGAATTGGCGAGAAATAATATGTGCTTGAGCAACGCTGCAGCTTGTAACGGCAATCGCGCAGAATGCGAGTACCAGTATGATGTAGCAGCATAATGCTTTCTTTGTTGCTTTAGTTGGACTCGGTAGGTGGCGCTATTTTCGAGATCTAGAAGTTCCGTTAACCATAGCGGATCATTAGAACATACTTAATTTTTTAATGAAATTGTATATTTAGATATTGTGAGTATTTATAGGTGATCTTCAAAACCTTTGAGAGATTTAGATAGTATACAGTGCTAAATTATTACAGTGGCCGTATAATATGACCGTCAGAAAGTTTTTATAACCTAAACGTTTAGTTTTGTATTGAAACTCGAGAAAAAGTGAGAAAAGTTACTTTTATAATCAAATTAAACTTAAAAGTGAAATTAAAATGTGAAAGTGTAAAATATAAACAAAAAGAGGAGGGCATTGGTTAATCTATTCCTAATTTTTACACTTTCCTTTATTAGTAGCACTACATTAACACTTATGCTTGGTCTCCCGTGGTGAACAAAGAGGAATCCCTTGGCTGGTCCGTGGTGTAGGGCCGGCCCGAGGTGCTCACTCCGAGCGGGCTTGGCGAGCCCACTTTGGATGTGTTTCGGTGGGCTGCTGCGAGAGGGGTGTCCTCTCCCCCTACCGCTGCAGCCGAAGTGGAGTCGTGGAGGAAGAGGAGTGTTGGTATTGCGATGCGCCACTCACTCTATCCTCCGCGACTCTGACGGGGTCGCACTGTTAATTGATGCGGTGGTGGTGGGGTTGCGGGGGTAGAGGAGTGTCGGTATTGCGAGGCGCCGCTCTCCCTACCCTCCGCAGCAGAATCTTGGTTGGTGACGGAGCCATAGACCAGATCCACCGCTGGAGTCAGGAAGGCTGGTGCTTCTGAGTGCTAATTTTTCTTGGCCCCATGGCCTTCGCGCATCGGACACGGGGGTGTCCGTTGCGCATGTGAAATTGGAGGCCGAGGAGGAGGGCGCGCCATGTGTTCTGGTGCGCCTTACTGTTAGCTACTTACAACAATAGGACCCAAACAAACAAGCGCAGCACTTCACACTTAGGCTTTCAACGACCAATAATTCCTTGATTTGTTGCAGAACATCTTTTACCTAGCAATAAATCCCTGTATGCCACCGCACGTAAGAAGATAACTGAATTGGAATACAAGTGTGTTTGGGTACGCAACGGGCGTATATAAATGCGAAAGGATGACTATAGCCAGGCTTTACTTATTCAGAATGTGGATTGTCTAAACAATGTGAGTAAGGTTGTTTTTGTATTTTTTTTCTACTTTTTTGCAATGTATAAGAGACCTAGAGAAATATTTTTTATGGAAAAATGTTATCAAAATTTAAGAAGCTTAGTGTAGGCCCCACGACAATATATATAATATATAAATGTGTTAAGGTAGAATAAGTTAAAGCAGTATAATTAAAGATCTAGTAAAAGCAACAACACGTCTCCATTCATATAATACCTTTCCTATACTACTTGGCGATTGGCGACCCTGCCAGTCGGTGCGCTATTACAATGCACGCGCACCGCGGGGCCTAGTTAAATGGTGGGAATAAATATTACTAAATTAAATAACGAATACACGAGTTAAATTATTGACAAAAATATTATAACGGAATGGACGCAATACCGGATGTAACGGAAAATAAATAAATATGAATAAAAGAAGAGGCCACAATAATAATTATACAGAAGCTGACTGAAAAATTAAAAAGTATAATACATATAAAGTAATATAGTGTAAAATATATAAGAGTAATATAAATGCAACTAAGAAAGAATGAGAAAAATAAAATAAGGATTTTTTTATATGGTGATCAAAGACCAAAATTCAAGAAACGGTAGATTTATTTAAAAAGGAAAGAAGCCGTTGTACTTTTGTAAACTACGTCCTGAAGAATATGAAAATCGAGAAAAAAGAACAAAGAAGAAAATTTGAGGTAATATCGAATAAGCGTATTTTTTGTCAATTCTTTTTAAGATTTCTTTAAAAAGTTTTATTACTATTATGAAAAAAGTTTAAAGTAATATTTTGTAATTAATGTATTATGATAACTTTTAATTTATTAATCAGATACTTGACGATTTAATAGATATATATTTATTACAGTATCTAAAAGAAATCATAATACAATATTAAAAATTACGTTACATTTTAAGCACTTATGTGGCATTTGTATTTAAGGCACAAGACGATAATATATTAATTTTTATTCAGATATTGTTTACTGTTTTATATTATATTTATTACTGTGTCCTGCAAACACGAACGAAATAGAACAATAGATCCGAACAAAAACAGTTTCACTGTAAAGCATCGCGCCAAGTACACTTTCAACTATAGTTACAAAAATAATAATTACATTTTTACAAAAAATTATAAAATAAAAAGAAACCAAGTACATACCCGTTTTAGATTCGAAAAAAAATTTTGCTGAAAAAAGTAATAATAAAAAAATGGTGTACTTGGTGTGCATGATTAAGAGTATCGATCACCCAACTTGACATTGGAAGTCGTTTTTTTATTACTTTTTTGAGTGATGCTCGTACTATAAAGTACCTATAATACAAACCAAGTACATCATTTTTTTATTATTACTTTTTTCAGCAAAATTTTTTTTCGAATCTAAAACGGGTATGTACTTGGTTTCTTTTTATTTTATATTTTTTTGTAAAAATATAATTATTATTTTTGTAACTATAGTTGAAAGTGTACTTGGCGCGATGCTTTACAGTGAAACTGTTTTTGTTCGGATATCATATCTTTTTGTAAAGTACACAATTTCTTTTTTTTTGCAAGTATCGCACACCTCATACCGCAAAGCGGTTTAGGTTGTGCTTTAACTCTCAACACGTCAAGGTCCAGAAAT